TTTATTTATTTATTTATTTATTTATTTATTTATTTATTTATTTTCTCCGACAATAGAGGGATATACAACGCCAGTATTTCTTTTGATGTACGGTGGTTTTCTATTGCAGGATATCATATAATTTACAATTACATGTACAAACATAATTACGTATAATATTTTCAGGTTTTCTACTATCGTCCTGATAACCTTGTCCTTTCTGGAAAGTGGGACAATTTAGCTAATAGTTAATAGAAATAAGAAAATTGGACGGGTGTTTGACCTAATGTCATACCAGTTATACTTACGATGTAGCGAAATAGTTGAGAACTCAGAAATCAGCAAAAGAACCCAGACACATTTTTGCGGCTCTAATAGGTGTGATTATAGTCATGCAAACATAGAGGTTGTTCTTGGCGAATGCGGAAGACAATCATTATGTTGCGTATATTTCAAGAAAAATATTTACTATTCGCCATATAGAAAATATCATCATCCGCAAGCGTGTTACATTTTAGTAAAAAGAAATATCTGACTAATCAAAACAACACTGACCTCCATTCAGGTACGATTTCTGTATAGTCTGGGTAGATCAGCAGCACGGTGACTTTATAAGTTTCTGCATTATTCTTTATAATAAAACATTGCGATGTTCAGGAACGATACGATACTAACACGATTGTAAGTCTACACCGTGTAGACATTATATTTATGTTACGATAAGTTCGGCTCCTAGGCGGGGAATTGGTTATCATGTTTATCCAACAAAAACGTTAAACATGTATTAGCCAGTTTTCGATGCTTCGGACACATACATAAGAAAGAGATTGAGAATATTTTACATATACTAGTAATGTTTACGTCGTTGGGGAGTTAATTCCACCTATTACTGGAATGTCCTTTGTCATGGATTGTTTACATCTTTCTTCGTGCTTATTTCCGAACACAGTGATATCAGTAACGTTGTTATCCTCAAACAATCCATATCATACATAATGTAGTATTATTCCTTTAGAATGCATTTAGAGGAGGAAAAACTTCGTAATGGGGTTATGAATTTGTAGTGCGTACTTTATTCAATGACTTCATTTCAATAATCACATATCACCTCAGCGCTACGAGGAGGATGGGTGTTGGGCGAGAAGACTTTATGCAAGATAATGTTTGAGGCGAATTCAATATATCGCTGTGTGGGATTCAGTACTGTTGTTATAAATCATCACCGCCAAACTTAGTTACTTTTTGTCGAAAGGAATTTACATTATCGTGTGATCGTAAAAACCTGATAGTGACCTGATAATTCTCATAGTGATGATTTATAATACCCAATATTTTACAGTTGTATTGCGGGGGGGGGGGCAATATTCTTTATTTCAAATAAGTAATTAAGAAGTAAAATTTCTAAAAGGGCGAACTAATTACATAAGCCACGTGAGCGTACCCAATTGGAGTTGCAGAAATGTCATTGATGGACGGGATAAATAATATAACACGGTAGGTATAGTTCGAACAGTCATCCATCGACAGAGCCTGACATCTTCGCCAGCCAAGGTTTTGCCATTGCCTCATCACTATATCTTGGCAGTTCTTTTCACCCATCGTGTGTTTAAGTGCGCCCTCTTTTGCAATTCGACATCACGCCATTTTCTTTTATGTGCATTACCAAATGCTAGTGCAACATTGATTGAAAGCATAATTTTGACGCGTTTCCAATAAGAACTTTAGTTTACTGAAGTCACTTACGCTTTCAATGAAAACTATGGTTTACTAGGGTCAAATACACGTCCTCTTGGTACAATCATGCACGGTTTTGTTATGTTTGAGACACCCAGTCTCCAAAATCGTGCGATTCGGACTGTGCGTTATCGTTGGTGTATTTTCATCAAGTTTATACAACTTTTTTAGTGGGCGCGATAGTCACATAATGACCGGCTTCGTGACGAGCATGAATTCCAACATGACTAACTCACTAGCTTCTCTCTACATTAAATATAATGAATTAACACACATTCCATTGCCTATTCAAATATTTCCATATCAAAGCCTGCTTTGCTCCAGTGCTGCATTCCACTTTGAGCTAACAATGCCGTTATTGTCCTTCAAATCATCTTGCCTCTCACGCCCACACACCCCTGTCCAGTTCACTCACCAGCACAATGACGCGACTTTACTGGTATTATACGTATATCAGCTAACACGACACGCCACTAAGGCATTATTTACAGATGACTCAACTTTTGTTTACTCTAGTTCTAAAATCATATTCTTCATACACAAACTTCATTCCCTTCGGCTACTCGTATCGCGTGACCATGGGATATTGACAGAGACTAAGACAGTTGTTCAAGTTGTTACCATACTAGACAACATAAAAAACAAAACACTAATTGAATCTCCACCTTTTCCCATTATTTGGCATTGTTTCAGAGCTCAGACTCTACGCGATAACACATGTACTGGTATTCACGCAAAATTGCGAACTCAGCTTTCCGGTCAGAAATTGAGAATTCCTTCACCGTGTCATGGAGTGCTGGGTGTCGTCTATGAAAGTTCGCAATTTACGGACTTTCTCGATTACGTGGCTTTTTTGTTTGTGATTTATGTCTCTAACTTTTTATTTTATTGGGTATCAACGTACATTGTTATTCCTTTTATTTTAAATGGACAATGGCTCCAACCATTGACCACGGGATAAAGTTAATGACCCAATGATATATATTTGTTTTGTGACATACACAGGATTTCTGGCACACAGTCTTTGCAGTGAAATGAAAAAGTATTTTGCAAGGATGTTTGTGGGAAAGGGTCTACAATACTTCATTGATGATTTGCATTGGCCAAAGAGGGCGCCATATGACGTATGTTTTACTTTTCGAACTCACGGGGGCGCTTAAAAATTGCCAGACCAGGCCTCTTTAATAAGTGTCTCTCGACACTGTTACCATGTAAGACGATTTGGCAAAGTGCCACAAGCGGCAAGTTTGTATTTTATTGCACCAAATATTATATGAGCTGCAATAAAAACAAGAGAAACACTTACTGTACGGGATTGAATTGAGTGGCGTACTTGCAGTAATTGGCGATGATCATCATTGAAGCGCGTTCAAATTGCTCCACTGTTGCTAAATGTAGCATGGCAACCGAAGGCACATGGTTAGGACGATTGTTGTTCTTTAGTTTATTATTTACTG